AGAAACTATCTTTAATTTCTCTCTTATCGAAACTGTTAGAATCTGGTATCTCCTACTTTTCTTTTCAGTCGGTGCGTACCATAGAGATGTGTTATAAATTACGAACATTCTGATCTATAATATTTTGCGAACTAAAAGGTCTTTGTAAAAGCTCATAGAAATTATATCTGAAAAATTTTATCGTATTTGTAGATAAACGTTCTAAAAAGTCACGACCAATAGGCAATATTCAACATTCGAGTTTACGTTAATGATCCCCTCAAAACGCGTTAGTTTATCAACATAGATTAAAAATTCTCATTTCATATCAAAATTTAATCAAAATAGTAATTCATTGTCTTAAAATTGATAAAGAATTTTACCATTGCCAAACAATTGTCGTACATAGGCAAAGAAAAACAAGATCTTGTGTACAACATGTTGTAAAACATATATATTTATAAAATCAAGTTTCAATTAATGCGTTAGAGTCAATGAAATTAAATAAACATAAACCTTAGTAAATTTAAAAAAGACCATTACCTAAAACATTATAACATATTCTTAGATACAGAGACATGACATTCACAAATGACTATGCAAATTATTGAAATATATATTCATATGTCTGTTTTGTAAAGTAAACTTTAAGGTAAAATATCATGTTTTTTTTAATTTTTCTAAAAGTTGTTTGACAGGATACTGCAGTTGGTAAAAGCTTTAGCATACATGCTCTCTGTCATTATTGGTTTTTAGGTTCTTTTGTAATTTTAAGACGATTTTTGGTGAAGTTAAATCAATTAAAAAATAAGTTTGATTTCGTCATCATGTAAATTCGGACTTCAATGTAACCTAATAAGGGTTGTATAATATTTTTTTATTTGCTTGATTTTTATCTTGTTGATATATGCCAAATTTTTGTACAGATGGAATCGTCAGGAATAAGAAATCTGTCTTACATTCAGCAAATAATTAACGTGGTGCAAAAGGAACTTGCTCAGTTTTTCATTAAACAATGGAACTCTCGTTACAAATCAACTTATGGAGAATGGGATGATACACACAACAGTGGTAACAAATTTTACAATTTAGAATCAAGAAGAAAGTTAGACCAAAAAACTCGACAAAAATATCAAGATGGAGATACCAGTAAGTGGGACTGTACGATATTATTTGATGCAATAATTTCTTCAAATTCAATTGGAAAGCATCTTGACAAAAAAACAAAGGATGCTGCTCATGCACTTCGTTGTGAAAGAAACAAGTACGCACATTGGTATGAAAAGGAATGCTCAGATGATGATTTTGATGATATAGTCAACATCATTGAAAAATCATTTCGATGAAATCGATGAAATCATCATCAGTTTTAATTCGTTCCAAGTTCTTCCTTCAAAATCTAATCATTTTTTGTTGAACGCACTGAATTACGAGATAAAATTATAAAAGATCTTGAAAAATTAAGCAATGATAACAATGATAAACTGACATATTTTACATCACTGGTAATCCTGGCAGTGGTAAATCACAACTTGCAAGACAGGTTTGTGAAAAATATCGTGTGATTGGAAAAATAGAACTTCGTTTGTAATGACTCTCGATGGAAAAATGAGGAATCTCTTTTAAAAACTTACAGTGAACTTGGATACCGTTTAAACTGTGACAAGTATATGATTGAAAAATTTGAAGATGAAAATTGTTCCATCGCAGACAAAGTGAAGAATTTGCGATCGTTAGTATCCACACGATTAAAATTCTGGCAAAATTGGTTGATCATTGTAGACAACGTGGCACAGCTTAGTAAAATTTCTTCATTACTCCCCCAAGTTGGTGATTCCATGTGGATAAATGGACAAATCATAGTAACTATACAGAACACAGATGCCGTACCTCAAGACGATGAGTTTAACAAACATATTTCTATCAGAAGTGGAATGAATGATAGGGAATGTTTTCAACTCTTGAAGCATTACACTATTGAAAATGATGATGATCAAGTGTTGAATGAAGTATCCCACGCATTAGATCGTCAACCGCTGGCTTTGGCTGCCGCTGGTTATTTTGTCAGTCGTGTAAAGAAAGCAAAGTGCTCATTTACTTGGAGACAATATTTAAAGAAAATATCTTCAGATGAACAAGAACACATGGACGCCACTTTTGTTAAATTTAACTCGGAATATCCTAGAAGTATGTTACAAGCTTCACTTTTAGCTGTCAGACAAAATGCTGAAGAATCCTCAATATTGGCAAATGTTATTAACCTTTTTTCCGTGATATCGTTTGATCCTATACCACGAGACATTATTGTTTTTTATGTTCAAAAAATAGATCCCAAACACTCAAAGGAAGATATATGTCTTTGTTTAAAGGACTGCTCATTGTTCTTGCATTCAGAAAATAGTGACATTAATCTACATCGCATTGTTCACAAAGCAATTATTGTTTATCAATGTGAACAGTTGAATGAAGAAGATAAAATGGAAACTAACGTTGATCAAATATCTAAAGCACTTTTCATGTTTAAAGAGAGAGACGACGAAATCAAATTAATGCCACATCTTGAAAAAATTGTTCAATTATTAAACACCAACAAGACAAAAATCAACATGAACACTTTACAAGTTTTCCAATATTTTGTTGACAGATTAGAACATTTTGGAAAATACGATCTTGCTCTTGACCTATTGGATAAATTTAAATCAGAAGAATCTAGTTATGACAAAGCTTGGTATTTTAATATCCTTGGTGTTTTATACCATGACACTGGGAAGTATAGCAAAGCTAAAAATCATCACGAAAAAGCTCTGGAAATTCGAAAACAATCGTTAGGTGCAAATCATGTTGATGTCGCTATGTCTTTAAACGATCTTGGTGTGGTGTTTTATAACACTGGAAACTACGACAAAGCTATAGAGTTTCATGAAAAAGCTCTGGAAATTCAAAAACAATCGTTAGGTCCAAATCATGTTGATGTCGCTATGTCTTTAAACAATCTTGGTGCGGTGTTACATGTAGCTGGAAACTACGACAAAGCAATAGAGCTTCACGAAAAAGCTCTGGAAATTCAAAAAGAACCGTTGGGTCCAAATCAGGTTGATGTTGCTACGTCTTTAAACAATCTTGGTAATGTGTATAATGAAACTGGAAACTACGACAAAGCTTTAGAGTATTATGAAAAAGCTCTGGAAATTCGAAAACAATCGTTAGGTCCAAATCATGTTGATGTCGCTATGTCTTTAAACAATCTTGGTGTGGTGTTACAAGTAGCTGGAAACTACGACAAAGCTATAGAGCTTCACAAAAAAGCTCTGGAAATTCAAAAACAATCGTTGGGTCCAAATCATGTTGATGTTGCTAAGTCCTTAAACAATCTTGGTAATGTGTATTATGAAACTGGAAATTACGACAAAGCTATAGAGCTTAGTGAAAGAGCTCTGGAAATTCAAAAACAATCGTTAGGTCCAAATCATGTTGATGTCGCTGCGTCTTTAAACATTCTTGGTAATGTGTTTTATAAAACTGGAAACTACGACAAAGCTATAGAGTATTATGAAAAAGCTCTGGAAATTCATAAACAATCGTTAGGTCCAAATCATGTTGATGTCGCTATGTCTTTAAACAATCTTGGTGCGGTGTTACATGAAGTTGGAAACTACGACAAAGCTAAAGAGCTTCACAAAAAAGCTCTGGAAATTCAAAACCAACCGTTGAGTCCAAATCATGTTGATGTTGCTACGTCTTTAGACAATCTTGGTACTGTGTATTATGAAACTGGAAATTACGACAAAGCTATAGAGCTTAGTGAAAAAGCTCTGGAAATTCGAAAACAATCGTTAGGTCCAAATCATGTTGATGTTGCTACGTCTTTACACAATCTTGGTACGGTGTTACATGAAACTGGAAACTATGACAAAGCTATAGAGTTTTTCGAAAAGTCTCTGGAAATTCAAAAACAATCGTTAGGTCCAAATCATGTTGATGTCGCTACGTTATTAAACAATCTTGGTTTGCTGTTTTGTGATACTAAAAACTACGACAAAGCTATAGATTGTCACGAAAAAGCTCTGGAAATTCGAAGACAATCGTTGGGTCAAAATCATGTTGATGTTGCTACGTCTTTAAACAATCTTGGTACTGTGTTTATGAAACTGGAAATTACGACAAAGCTATAGAGCTTAGTGAAAAAGCTCTGGAAATTCGAAAAGAATCGTTAGGTCCAAATCATGTTGATGTCGCTGTGTCTTTACACAATCTTGGCATTGTGTTACATAAAACTGGAAACTACGACAAAGCTATAGAGTTTTTCGAAAGGGCTCTGGAAATTCAAAAACAATCGTTAGGTCCAAATCATGTTGATGTCGCTTCGTCTTTAAACAATCTTGGTATTGTGTTAAAAAAAACTGGAAACTACGACAAAGCTATAGAATTGCTCGAAAAAGCTAAGAAAATTCGCAAAAAAAAACGTTAGGAACTAGTCAAGTTGATGTTGCTAAGTCTTTTAGACAATCTAGGTGTGTTGTATTATGAAACTCGGGAATACGACAAAGCTTTACAGTTACACTTTGGTAGCTACGTGTTTCAAAGAAAATTGTGCCTTCTAAATTATGTTAAGCCTATTTTTAACACATAGACCGTAGGAGCAAGGCTTCCACCTGCCAAGTCAGCTCCCCTCTCCTTCAGAAAGTATTTTTGGTAGTGAATAAAGCGTTTGCAATTTGCATTTTGTGAGGTAAAATGAACCTAAAGATGTAATGATCCTTGTCTATATATAGTTTCACTGATATCTAGTCAATAAACTTACTCTACAGCCCAGGGAATCATCCTAAGTAGAACTTAGAACTGCACATATCCTGAATCTGACATTGTTCTTTAGACTTTATTTCTAAAGTAATTTGCTTTTATGTCATAACGAAGTAGTAATTTTTATTGTATGATTTACAAACATACTAAAGTGTATTGGGATGACATAAATTTTGTTAAATAAATACTATCCTGTTAGTTGTTCATATTCTTTGATACATTCAGTATTTTTTACCAAGCTCCATAAGCCAATGACCATATTCCAGGATACCATAATTTCCAACGGGTACACCTTTCATACCATACATACCACCCCACCATGCTGCAGCCAATATTCCTGTACTGTCACTATCTCCACCATGAAACATAGAACAAGAACACAATTGAAACCAGGAATCTTTTGCCATCATCAAAGTATCGTAAGCAATCATTGGTGCATCATGACCAGTGGACCCGCCCCAACCTGCATAACTGACAGATTTATAAAAAGCATCACGTTCAGGTATGTTATATGTCACTGGAAACTTTGGTTCAATGGTTCCATTTGTTAATCCCGGTAGTTCAAGATATGACTCCCAACTATTTTTAAAGTAGACCCAAGCTTTCTTGTTTTCTTCTACATCACGACCAACCTTCTCAATGTATTCCCAAACTTTGGGTAAAATACTTAAAAGTCCTGCTCTTGACAAAAACAGGTCAAGAGCTTTGTCGTTCAATTACACTTCACAATTTAAAGTCACAAACAATAAACAATTATCAGCTTTTTTATAATGCCGGTTTAGCATTAAAATGCTTCAATATCCAACTTTACGCCCGAAATACATGCAAGTTTAACTTTCACATTTACAATAAGTGTTAAGTAAATAAATATCAAAAATGATTAAACTGAAATCACCCAAACTGTTCTAAAATGCAGAATTGCTTAAACATGACGCGCTTTTTTTAACTAAAGTGAAGATGGCTGTAAATTTTAGCTGATAGACCCTAGGTTCGCTCAGCTACGCATCCATAACCTTCAAATTTCATTTCTTTTTGTTTCATGGTTGCATATGACAAGTAGAACAAGTTTAGTCCCACACCAATGTCACTGTTTTTTTTTGATGACTTAACCGAAATAAAAAATCCCTAATGGAAAAACCTGAACGGTATAAACCAAAACCGAACACAACGGCACGAGAATTTAGAGAATACTGAAGAGGAAAAAACCATTAGGGATTTCAGCCCCGGGGGACCCTTAGAAACAAAAGTCTTTACTTACCTTTGCAACGATGCAAATACCAAAAAAAGAAAAAACCGTCAATTTCTCAAAGACACCTTCAAGTCCAAAAATCTTTCAAGTATTTTAGTTATGCATATAATTCATCATTTTTAACATACAACTTACGTACAAACCGCCACATTTTAGTTTTACCGCACGTAAACCAATCAGCGAACTCGACAATTTTCTACTTTGGACGAGAAAATTGTGTAAATTGGATGGGAATTTCTTTTAACGTGTGTTTTTCTTATCTAATCCACATCCGAATCAGTCGCACCTAGCGTCACCTTAGCAGTCCCTATTTTGCACCGTTTCATTCAGTGCTTTGCGCGCCCGGTGCCACTAACGCTTAAAGCTGGAGCAAGCGCTTGCTGCATGACATGGATTAGATAAATGTACTTGAAAATATTTTAAGCAGACAGACGAAATTTAATATTTTTTGAAACAATTTAGAACACTTGAAGAAGCACACGTTAAGTTTGGTTACCGAGGGACCGTGGATGGTTTAACCAAACAACCGGCAGCGCTTGATTTAAGTTATGTTTTAGTTTGACAATTATCACATAGATGACTAGATAGCAACGCGAATGGTGAACATGGAAACCATCGTGTAACTATTTTGTATCATATGTGACAACGTCTGCGGTTTGTCTTCATAGTAACCATCAAAGAAAACAAACAATGTGCTTTTATTAAAACTATGTTTCGTGTTAGTTTGGTTAATATGAAGCCATTCCGCATACTTAGACCTGGTGTACTAAACATTTTTTTATGCCTGTTTTTGCTGTGGCTTGCCGCATCGAAATTCCCAAGAATGAAGTTTTCTTAATAAGAAAAGAACATATCCATTTTTACATTTACAGTAATTGCCACGCCGCTCGTAAACTGTAAATGTCTTGACAAACTGAAGACTATTTGAGTTTTAATTTGTTATTTGAAAATGACTGACAAGATTAAAGTTTCCTCCGAAAGATTTTGAAAAATTTAGTCATTTTTCTTGATAGTGGAGTTCATCCTTTAAATTTATAAAGGTTCTAACCCCATACTCTTTATCTAAGCGTAGCAACTACTCGCTGCAACTACAGCGCATGCCTAAGCTATCTAAACTTCCTACCTGCGCATGGCACCGGAATTCCGCCCTGAAAAGGAATGCCCTTTGAAGGAGGTAACCCATCATGCCCTTAACTTAACTTAACCTAGTGCATGTTGCACCTACGGGCGACCTCCAACCGGGGTGGGTTGAACTACTCATGCATTATAGGGGATCCATGCAGGAGTGCCTTAATAGTCAATGTAGAAAGCCGTTCATGAAATTGGCCAACTACAACGACTGCATGCTCTTACCGTACTAGGGGAGAGATATTTTTCTTTACACCAAAACCACGATCTTCCCTTCGTCTTCAATAGGCCTTGCCCGCTTGATCCAGTCTTCAAAGGTCTTCTTACAGATGCTATTTGCATCCTTTACGCTAAGGTACCATTTGTACCCACTAACCCCAAGTTGAAGTTGCCTTCCTTGGGCAAAACTTCACTTGCATTTCCGATTCTAAGCTATGGTCCTGCCTATCCTTCTGCGAGGCAACAACCGCTGCGATCACGCGTAGCTCCTTAAAGCAGTATATTTACACAGAGGTTTTTCGAAGGTAAATTATACAGAACAACACAATTGTTGCATGTCACAGATTTGAAATAGTTGATACAAATTCACGCTTACTAAGACACAAATTTTAAAAAGAATTAAAGCAGCACGGATAAACACAATTGTATTATTTTAACCAAAAGAACACTTTTATTACCTCTTAATCAAGACTATTTTTGAAAATGCAGATGTAAATTTCTTTAAATATACTTATTTGCATTGCTGCATTAAAAAAATAGCCTTACAGTGGAATATACTGAACACCAGGATTTGTTGTGGCTATTGCCCCAATTATATTAGAGATTTGGCCTGTTAACAGGCCTAACTAAATAAAAGGTTTATTATTATTACACTTACGGTTTTCGACGAATCGTTGGAAGTTCGACGACAGACTACGATGAATGACAAATCTCATGCCAATTGTGAAGATGAAACGATCGGATGTTGAGCATAGACAGCCACAAAAAAGCCCAAAATAATTTTTTGAAAAATTCAGAACGTTGATGGTGAAACCATCGTATCCAATTTTCAGGCTACCTGACAAACATCACCGCTTTTATGTCGACGACGGCAAGCACAGAAACAAGATTGGCCATTTCTTGCAACTGTGCATGTCGTCTACGGCATTAAATCGGAAATATCGACAGCCAGTCGGAAAATTAGGATTTTTAGGTTTTTCATTTTCATGTTAAAGAAATTCCATGTTTTTATTACAAAAATTTTCAATTAAATAATGTTGACATTTGGGCATTTGATAGCGGCGTGGTTTTATCCATCATTGCGATTGATTGACCAGTCGTGATGTTAGCAGGAAAACTCCCAGGAAAATGTTTTAGAAAAGTTCATAATATTGACTTTTCCATGGAAACAGGCGTTAGGCTGATGGATGCATTGCTCCAGAAGAGTGTTTAGCGTTTGCATTCTTTGTAGATGAAGTCTTTAGGGCATTAGAAGTCGCGTATTTTTCAATTTCATCAAAGTATATTGTCCATTCTTGATCATTGTTCAGAAGAGTTCATTAAAGTATATTGTTCATTCTTGATCATTGTTCAGAAGAGTTCATTAAAGTATATTGTTCATTCTTGATCATTGTTCAGAAGAGTTCATTAAAGTATATTGTTCATTCTTGATCATTGTTCAGAGGATTTCATCAAAGTACACTGCCCATTCTTGATCATCGTTCAGAGGTCTTCATTAAAGTAAATTGTTCATTCTTGATCATTGTTCAGAGGATTTCATCAAAGTACACTGCCCATTCTTGACCATCGTTCAGAAGTCTTCATGAAAATAAATTGTTCATTCTTGAGAATTCTTCAGAGGACTTCATTAAAGTATGCTGTTCATTCTTGATCATTGTTCAGAGGATTTCATTAAAGTACGTATATTGTCCATTCTTGATCAGAAGGTTTCTACATAGGACAATTGAAGCCAATGTCAGTCCACACTACTATACTTCCATAAATGAAAAACATTGATAACATACTTACATTGAACATTTTATTAACTAGTAATGTAGTTCAAGGGAAGAAAAATTTCAACCAAATTACAGAATTGTATTTTGTTCTTATATTTAGATGAGCGTCGGGGAATTGGTCGACAACAGCCACAATTCTCTTCAACCGCTGTGAACAATAACCACTTTCTTTAATTGTGGAGTCTACGATCATGATAAATACACCAACATTTGTTCGTTGTTTCTCAATCTCATTTGAGGACTAATTGTCGTTTAAAAGAAGAATGTCCATGTCTAAAATCAAGCATAGAGGAAACAAAAGTTACTAAGACGGAAACTTTATGGAAAGGCCACACTGCACTTTGCATTAATGAACATCACATGTAGTGTTTTAATTCAATGTTTACTCAATGCAAAACAACTTGAAACAAGACATTTACCTGAACAATTTTTCAAAGCACTCCAAGAGTTATTTCACCTTGGAATAATTTCGACTTCGGCTAACTATTCTTCGTGCAACTACAGACTTTCACGTTCAAATGGCACGTTCTTAGTCTTAGACTATGGCCCAAGTTTCACGAACGTGTTGTATTCTGATTCGTCAGTGACTAGGTGTGTTGTAAACGTGTTGTATTCTGATTGGTCAGTGACTAGGTGTGTTGTAAACTGTTGTGTTCTGATTGGTTATTTACCAGGTGTGTCGTCAATTGTACATTGTGAAATTTAGAATTTGCATGATTCATCACTTAGAAGTAATTAATCCCTATAGAGCGGTAAATGCAATTTAATACAATATAAAAACGTATACTTCAGCTGCAGAAAATAGCAAATCCCAAACATTTAAGTCTCCTTGGGGAACAACTACAGCTGAATGATGCAAATTCTAAAGGTCCACTGATGTCAAAAATGATTTGATAAACCCTCTAGATTGTTATCTTCATCTCATTTTCTTATTGTATTTATTAGCATTAACATTTGATCTATTTTAATTAGCATTCTACAGGGTGTATATAAAAACGACGTTTGGAAGTTAAACTACTGTAAAATTTCGAAACCCAATCACTCTGCTAACCTCACTAGTGCATTACATTTTCAATGGAGGAAAATCTTTTGTGCTTGCATCAACGTAGCTAACAATGTTCCATGCACCTGTGGGCTTGGCGTAGTGACAGACATTGAAATTATACAAAGGTCTTCAATGGTAAATGAAGGCTGACCAACTAGTTTTGCACACATCAAAGGAATGAACAGGATAGAAAAATTATATTACAATGTATTTTTTTATTTTTTTATTCAACTATCAGCCGGCATTATATGTTGTCCCTTTTAAAGAATTTTCAATCTCCATGGGACAATGTGAAAGTGTGTAAAATGAAAGACTATAGTGTTTGGTGTGAAAGTGTGTGAAAATGCAAAGACTATAGTCAACGGCAATATATGCAGTTGATTACTTTCATAAACTTACCTTTAGTTTTAGGGACTATTTATATGAGCCCGATAGCCGGGATTCAGCGAACGAACATGTAACATGTAACATGTTCTTACACAAACTTTCGGCAGTTATTTCAGTAAACAGTAAAGATACAAACGATGGGCATAAAAGCAGCTAATATTGGAGGCAACAATTCGCCTAGAGAAACCCGACCTTGTGCAACGAAAATTTCCGCAATGCCATTCTCTAACGGTCGTTATTTCGTTAACGTCTTTTCTGAGTTTTTGAAGGACTTTTTCAAAGAGCTTAGCAAAAAATAAACATGTATTTAACGTATAAATCTTTGATAAACCAGCAATTGTCAAAACTCTGCTAAAAAAACCCCCCATGTACAACAAAAACTTCGGCAATGTCATGTTTTTTCGTCAACATCTTTTTTGACTTCTTGAAAGACTTTTCCCGACAGCTTCGAAAAATGAATGAGGAATGAAGTATAAAGTTTGACTGAGGAAGAAGCAGCTGATATTTTAGGGTAAAACTGATATAAATTTTGGTAAAAAAAACGTAACTCTTCAACGGCCATTTTCGTTTTTTCGAATTTGGAAACGACTTTTTGCAACAGCTTAAAAGAAAGAATCATGTATTCAGTAGGTTTAACTTGTTGTGATGTTATAAAATATTGTGAAAATGGATTTGCAAGGCGGAAAGCGAATTCTTAGTATAAATATAATTGGCCATCATAAAACTTTTAATATGGCCATGGGTATATAATTTTATCAACAATAACGTTTCGTCTTTAGCTGAAGACATCTTCATATTACAATACATACATGTAGGAAGTAGTAAATCCTATTCTTAGAAATTTTGTACAATACTTACAATAACCACTGTATGCGTTACCCTTCTTTGAAATAAAAGGTTATATTACTCACTGTAATACTTTGAAACTTACAAATGAAATATTTTACGTAATACTTACGATAAAGATTGTTTCAGCAAGAAATCTCTTTACAAATAGCGCGGGAAAGATCGGCAAAAATTCATATGACGTATTGATCAAAATTGGTCACGTGTCAAGTCGTATAAACATTCGCCAGCAAGAGCTGGGTGACGTGGGATATGTAAATTGATCAAATCGTGCTGAGGTAGCACAACATTTAATAGCATAGTAGGTTTCGTGTGATGTATTTAATATACGATTGTTTTCATTTCAAGTTAAATATTATGTTTTAACTTGTTAAAACCCAGTATGATGTACTATTATATAGTAGCAAATACTGACAAATTATATCTGTATAGAACACATACAATAAAGAGTCGTTGAAGTTGATGCATCAGGAAATTCTTCTACTTTGTAGACATATTATATTTATATATACTGAACTATACGTATGTTATATATATACATACAATATAACTTATACAATTTCTATGCTCTGTTTTTTTCGACAGACATCCTACAAGTTTTACCTTTTAACCATTATATTAAGAAGGAACAGTTTGTTTTGTCGATGTCGTCGTTGAAACAGATGATACCGTTGAAGTTTGCCTGTAAAATATTTGCTGAAAGGTTAGAGAAAAATTGATAAACTATTCACGAAAGAATAGGTAGTAGCCTTTTGATTTTCTGTCTAAAACAAGCCAAAGTTTGAGTTCTTTGTGTTGTATTATTACGAAATAAAAGATTTTTACTGTGTTTGCACGGGCTTATGCAAAACGAGGAGACCTTTGGAAGAACTCGAGAGCAAATCAGTGCAAGCCCAAAACCGAAGGTAGAGTGTTGCACATGCTCAAGAGTTCTCACAAACGTCTCCGAGGTTTGCATAAGCCAGTGCAAACACGAAAAATATCTTTTTAAAAAATATCAATAATGCTAAACAGACAAATTTAAAACAAACGTTTTAATTTTTCCTCTAAAATGTATTCATGATTGATTTGCGAATTCTCTTTGATTGATTTGATTTGTTGAGCCCAGATCGGTTTGCACAAGCTAATGAAAACACAGCTATAGACCAATCAGCGCATGCGCTTGATTGCTTTTTGTTCTTGTTTTGACTTTCAATTTTTCTGTCTATTCTTGCCTTACAAACATTAACACTAAAAATCGTTTAATATTCTGTATATTGAACAATAAATTACACTCAAACATGATCACGTGTTTACTCACATGAAAAGATCACGTGTTTACTCACAAGATCACGTGTTTACTCACATGAAAAGATCACGTGTTTACTCACATGAAAAAGATCACGTGTTTACTCATATGAAAAAGATCACGTGTTTACTCACATGAAAAGAACACGTGTTTACTCACATGAAAAAGAGCACATGTTTACTCACATGAAAAAGATCACGTGTTTACTCACATGAAAAAGATCACGTGTTTACTCACATGAAAAAGATCACGTGTTTACTCACATGAAAAAGAACACGTGTTTACTCACATGAAAAATGGAAAGTATTTGAACAAAGAACTCTTGCAAGGATTTTCACCTAACTCTGGAACAGCACCCAGACTATAATTGATCAATTTTCTCAAGTAATTTTCCAATTGTTTTCGACGTGTTTCCACAAAATTGACGTCACGATTTCCAATAATTTTCTTCGCGGGAAACGTGAATTGTGCAACAGGTTTAAACTGCTTTCTTGTCTGCGCATAAAAAGGAAAAGGAAGGGATTGTACATTACGGCAAAACAATATGATTAAAAAAGTTCAAATAGTGATGTTTATTAAAAACCTTCTTATGTAGGGCATAAAAATCCGAGTATCTTTTGTAAACATTCCATTCATCGTCTTTGATACGGATATAAACCTTGTGAAGTAAACAATGTTAAATTCTTTATTGACGACAATAAATGGACCCCTTAGCAGATAATATACATATATATAGAAAGTTTATATTTGATGATTCTCCGTATAAAACAGTGCTCGATGCCCGAGAGCAGAGCGTAAATATGTTTAGTGGTGTTGAGAAAAAATCATAAAATTACAGATTCATCCAGACAAGCCTGTTTCGTGATTAAAGGAAAATCCCCTGAAGAGTGAGCAGTCACGAAACAGGCTTGTCCGGATGAATCTGTAGTTTTGTGATTTTTTCTCAACACCACTAAACATATACATATGAAAAGTGAAATATTTGAGCAGTAAATTTAAACTACGACATGATCTTTTAAATACGATGACCACAAACACTTTTCTCAAGGGTGATGTATTTGAAACGAGGAAAATACCAAATATAGATCATAAATCTTGAAATATAGTCCCTAGTTATACCTAACCTAGTCCAGATAACCATCAACATCGCATCGGAAGAGTTATTTACTTTTTTAGAGATAAATATATGGAAAAAATTATACCTGATAAGAATGGTGAATGTTTGGAGACTTTCCTTGTACAAAAACAGATGGAATCCAAATGTTAATTAAAGGACGAGTATTGACAGACATGAAATTTGGACCAAACTCCGTCAAATATAAACATTCATCATGATTATTGTCCTGAGGAAGCTAGAACATACGAAGATACGTAGTTTTATTAAGAAATACTTAGAAAATCAAAAGAATAGTTACTGCTTTTCATATTCATATCAAACAGTTCATATTGTACATACCGATCAATATTGTACATCTATTGTACTATAATGAACACACGGGTCTTTACTGAACATACCGGTCCTCTAAGATTGACAAGCTCTTCTTTTAATATTCTTAGCTGATATTCACGAGCATTCAACATTTTTTGCAGTCTTTCATTGAGTTCAATAAGTTCGCCATGCATATCAGCGACCTTTAAACATGATAAACAACATTTCATCACAACTTACGCCATGACGTCATCACCATGAAGTTTCCCAGGGATGAACAAGAAACGCGAAATCAGTCAGCATGGCGAGTTTTTTTAAACATATATCACGATTTCATTTCAGTTATTTATCCACAGTTTTCATAAGTCAAAATATCTTCTTGTATTAGATATTTCTTAAAGTCACCGTGTGCATCGTATAAAAACATTTTCTATCAGATAAATTTCGGCTCATCTTCATGAAGCATATGATACATGAAGACCTTTTAAGGCAAATGTTTCGTTTTGTAAAAGTATTATGGTTTAATGGAAATCTTACTTGGATCAACTTCCGCTCAAAATCTTTGTTTTCTTCCTTTCTACAAGAAAAAGAAACGAAATTCAACGCCGTTGATTCTCTTTTGCTACAAATTTACGGTAAATACCTCACTTCGTCGACGTCAGATTCCGGAGAAAGAATGATAGAAGAAAGTCTTTCATTTTCTGGAGCTACACAAAAGATTATCGAATATCTTAAACTTCTACATCTATTTTAAAGATAAACTATCCCTCTAAAAAACCTTCTTCCATAACGTCATTTCTTTTCAACGATTGAACAGCACCCACGTATTTCTTTAGTTGGTGCTTGAGCAAATCATTTTCACTAAAGAGCAAAAACGAACAGGTCAACAGACATCTTTGATTAACGGAAATGCAGAGTTCTCAATGTCCTAACCTTTTTAAGCCGTTAAGAGCGACGCAATTTTCTTCATTTTTCGACGACATATCTCTTTTTAAATCTTCTAATTGAAGACGAAGAGCAGCTGACTTCATCATATCTTTTTCTAAATGTTGTTGTAATGATCTACAGGAAAGATGATCGAAGGAAAAATCAGGGCAAAATAGTGTATATTCGAATGGAATGTTAATATTAAACGAAGGACGATAATACAACCTGTTACGTTCTTCAACTTCATCTTTTCTTAACATCATCGATACAATCGCCTGTTTTAATTCCTCTTCAACAATAAAAAACCACGTATTTATTGATATTCATGAAATTATAATTATTCACACATACAAATATTCAGTTCACATGATGAAATTTGACGGATGTCTCCAAACAAGCAAAGCAACTACGATACAAATAGTAAAATCCAATTGCACTAAATATTTCTATATTTAAAACTAACTCTACCTGCTAATAGCCATTTATAGTTTGAGAACCTGAGGCAAAAGTGCCTCCCGTTCCCAAAACATTTTTCAAAAGATATAAGAAATAAAACCATTTAAATACATGAATAGAAAAACACACAAACCTGAAGTCATTTCTTTGCCTGATGGATATTCCTCTGATGGCTAAAGAACGAAAACATACCAAATATAACGAACTAAATATAACAAAGATATTTACACATGGCTTTCTACCCTCCCCTGAAAAAGATAAAAGCATTTCATAATTAACTAACATTCATACAACCATCACCCATGGTTCTGACCAATGACGATCCTGAGTAATCATTAATTTCTATGCTACCATCACGTGTGGCACATATCGCTGCAACAGTTGCTCCAATTGCTAAACTTGCATCATTCTCGACGTCTTCATCAGTGTAAATACTGAAAACAACATAAATTACCACCTCAGTTAAAATGGTGAACTCGTTAGACATTCTTGTCGATAAAATAATGAAGTATCTTCTAACCTTGAAACGGGCGAATCATTTATTGAATGAACTAAATGTCGCGACGTCTCAGGTGCAACAGTAAATCGCTCATTTTCATCTGACATAGCTAGACCCTAACTCCTTTATCGTCATCGGGGCAAACTACGGGAATTAGAGATACACCGCTGTTCATATCAACAAGAGGCTCACACACTTCTTCCTCCGACAAGAGCGATGAGTCAGTGTAATGCCCTGATTGCAAAGATGTTGTCAAAGAATGATTTTTTCAAATCATTCGCAGTTTTAAACTCGTTTTAAGATGCAGAACTTCCTGGCTTTTCTTTGTTAATCGAGCCACTTGTTCATCTGTTTCATTCTCCTTGTTCTCAACGTTGGTTTTCGCCATTGTGGAAGAAAGACTTGAATTCTCAGAATTCGAACAATAAGCCAACTGAGAGTTCTTTGGCATTTCAAGAAAATCGTCAGGCCTTTTAGTGAAAGCATGGTTACCACGAGCATGTACCTGAGAATCAGTATTACGTTGTAATATGTCGTATGCCGCTCGGGTAAAACTCGTGGCACTATCGTGAGCAGTCGTTGTTGTGGAAGAACTACCATGAGAACTGACAGTAGAAGTTCCTTCTTCCGTCTCTTTGAATTCAACATTTTCAATTTGAGCAATGTTTGCTTTCTTTTACGTTTTTCTTTTCTTTTCCTGAAACACAAAAGAAAGATAAAAGTTACAAATTAATAAAGACGTGGGGATAAATGACTACGCATTGTTCAAGTATGATAAAGAATAAATGAGGACGCGCGGTTAAGGGATGATAAGGGATGAATAAACAACAGGTATAGTTAAGGGATAAATGAAGACATGTAATAATGGGATAATAAAGGTTAAGGAGAACGCATGGTTGGGGGATTACAAGGAATAAATGACATGTGTGGTTAAGGAATGATAAGATTAGCGATATATGAGATGAATGGTAGGGATAATTAGGGATAAAAGGGATATTTTTGATCAGGGAGAAAAATGAAATTCTGATCAAATCTTTATTTTCTTAAAATGTTGTATTTAACAAACTTCACCAGGAGCTCCTGACGTCGCATACATTGGTGATGGTACAGCCCATATTGATGTTGGACGAGAAACTGCTTGGCTGATATTTCCTGGAATCTAAAAATTAAATTAAATTCAAGTAGTTAAAGAAAAGTACATTCATAGCTTCCACTTTTTTACTATCCATTTCTATTTGCAAAGATTCATTTTTAAACAATATCAATAGCATTCCAGCATACCTGTACAGTAATAGAGTTAAACTCAGCTTTGTCAATGTCAATTGCAAAAAGAATTGAACTTAAGCCTTAAAGAAGAAACAAGGAATGATAAAAAATCCATTATAGAAATATAAACAAGTTTATTCTTACCAGCAGCCATCATTGGTAACATACTAGATCGTTCATCATCCAATAATAATGCATCCTGCTCATAATACTGACTGAAATTAAAGCAATTACACATTGTATAATTATTCTGACATCAACAGCTTACCGTTAAAAGAAAACTCCATTACTATATCGCATTATACATTGGTTATGATAATCATATAGCTTATCAAGCCAAGATCAATATTTCTTTCTTAAATGTTACTTAAATCAAACTTACAAAAGCAATTGTTTATGCCCAATGAAGCTGTGAAGATATTTCTCCAGTGATTGCTCGTTTAAACTAGACCTAAGCCATGCTTGAGCTGTCAAATAAACATCAAAGAAAGAAAGAAAAATGTCAGAACAAATTCATGGCATACAAAAAGGTCTTACCCACAAACATTCCTGGAATCATTTAGAAGCCAACAACTTGACCAACCTCTACCAACATCTGTCATTACATTATGTAAGGAATTATATGTCTTTATTTCACTAGAGCTAAGATGTTCCTTGATAAATAGCCAGAACACAGATTGACCTTCAGACCTCATTAACACCTGCCTTTAATGAACATAGTAATGATGAAAACAAATTATTTAAGAATGGCTTTTAAATTGACTGAATTGAGAGAGGAATGATGAAGATACCTTAAAGAATTTATCTTTTTTGTGGATTTAATGCCGAATTGAAGAACAATGTTCCATTGCTCACAAAGACAAGAGATTCTGTGTTTATCATAAACACAAAGATTATGATAAATAAGGATTATACTATGAAATAAAATGAATACAATACAATACAACCGAAGAAATATCAAGTTCACCTGCTATCCTTCTCAGAAGCCAATTCGGTTGTACTACCAAATCGTACCTGACACTAAAGAAACGACGAGGTTCAAGTCGACCAAATCATTCGAGTAAAATCAATACAATAAAAGACGAAACGAAATTACAAGTTCCAGTTTCGAACTTTCAACTACGTACAAATATTTTAAAACTAACTTGCTTTACTCCATCCAACAAGCGATCAATAATTGCGAGTAATATCTACACTTGCCAAGTTCAACATAATCTCCACTGAACTAACATGTAAAAAAATAGTTTCGTTTGTCGGACAATTAGAAAAATAATTAAAAGTAATCAGATATTAACAAAGTATGTATATACGAACGAGTACCTTATGATCGCTTGATATCACCACCTATCAACTCTCACCACCCATGCTAGCATCAAGAAAGTTCGGAGAAAATACAAAGTGTTTTCTACATGTAAAAAATATCCACGATACACGGCAGTATTATTGAAGCAGTTCACAAAAGAAGACAAATCAAGAATATTTACCAATATGGGCAACGGAAATGATTTAAATGAAATATTTGAGGCAAATGGCAGGACGTCACAAAGAGAGGGGGAACGTTGGGGGTGGGTGGGGATGAGAGAGTACACAATGAGCGTAGCAAATGACACCGCCAGGGCCCACCATAATACCTCAGCAAACGAATGCATGAAAAACACGACACATGCAGTAATTTCTTAAAGTTATTTGCTGAGATAAATCAACGCTAGTAAAAAATGTTTCATCGAATTCTAAAATCAAAAACCATGAACAGAGATTCCACATTCTAAAAAACGGATGATAAAAAGGAAAAATCAAAAGGTTTTTAAATTCTTCTGTCCAATTTCACTTATTGAACATCACTGAAGTAAAAAATAAAATTACAACAAATTACAAAATTTATCAGACTAAACTAGGAGTACATCGCTGTATGGTTAGTTCATGGTGAATGCTGTATGGTTAGCTCATGGTGAATGCTGTATGGTTAGTTCATGATCAATGCTGTATGGTTAGCTCATGGTGAATGCTGTATGGTTAGTTCATGGTGAATGCTGTATGGTTAGTTCATGGTCAATGCTGTATAGTTAGTTCATGGTGAATGCTGTATGGTTAGTTCATGGTGAATGCTGTATGGTTAGTTCATGGTGAATGCTGTATGGTTAGTTCATGGTGAATGCTGTATGGTTAGTTCATGGTCAATACTGTATGGTTAGTTCATGATCAATGCTGTATGGTTAGTTCATGGTGAATGCTGTATGGTTAGTTCATGGTGAATGCTGTATGGTTAGTTCATGGTGAATGCTGTATGGTTCGTTCATGGTGAATGCTGTATGGTTAGTTCATGGTGAATGCTGTATGGTTAGTTCATGGTCAATGCTGTGTGGTTAGTTCATGGTCAATGCTGTATGGTTAGTTCATGGTCAATACTGTATTACAACTAACAAAATTCTGTTAAACCAAATATCACATGACGTCATTGATTGTAATTACGTGTTTGTAGATGTAAATCGTCCAGGTCAGAGTAGAGTCGTGAGGAATGCTGATGTTAACTGTCTCTACATAGATGCTGTACATAGTCGTCATTAATGTTTTACAATTCTGTTTGTTGAAAGAGATCCTGACTCACTCTTCATCTTCGTTATTTAAATGTGTTTATGTATTAAAATGTGCATGGATAAAAGATTGATGTTACTATAAGGCATGAACTATGATCACCATTTTTAACTAATATGTATGTGGTCACGTTGTTTTCATTAAATCTCTCATCCGTTTGTTAAGTATGTGACATGTAAAGAAGTAAAGCAAGTATAATTTTGTTCACACGGTCGTCATATATGAAGTCTTATTTCTAAAACGTAGATAATTTTTCGAAAGTAAAGCGAGTTTCTGAAACTATATTACTAACTTTACATAACAATTTCGCTATTGAATGATCTCGATAATATATGACTAAACATGCATGAGAAATCATATCTAAACTGATATACCAACTTTCTAACTATTGACAATAAGCTGCATGGTAAAGGAAAGCAAAATCTGTTCAAAGGTATGGGAGAGGTGAAATAGCATACTTGTCTATGGAACATATGGGAATCTGTGAAAATTTATGTAGGGGTAATAGCATGTCCAATCATGCATCACCTCCCTTCTTTGCTGACGCCACTTTTGACTAAACTCTGTGTGTCTAACAAAATGTTGATAGTTGTATACAACAAACCATTTCTTTTAGAAATAATAAAATTTGAAAAACAAGCAAAAGTTAAACACAGGAAGAATGTATTTACACACAGAGGAAGAACGCGACCGAATCTATTTTTTGTGAATTGTTGATTCATGCAACACAGAGCTTTCAAAACTATACTTTTGATCATATTTTAGTTTAACAGTGTTAAAGTTTACTTTTATTGCATCCTTTACTGTTATATGTATAGTGTTTTTTTATTGATCATAAGTATTTACAATTGCGTGCAGTTGATAATTAAAATGTATTGATAATTTACAATGGGTTATTCAATAACAAAGGTCTTTTTATAATATAAACTGACTTTTGCAATAATATACATGTATGGAATTTTTGATTAGCGAAGTAAAAAAATCGATTTTAAATTTCAAAAATTGTGTCTTAATCATTCACATTCAAATCCTATTTTAGAAAGATGATCCCTTTATTCCTGAGTGAAAACTTGTTAAACTTTATATTATTTAGCAGTAGTCCTTTGGAATTTGACTCATTTCAATGTTCTTATGTACTCTGCATAAGGCTCTTACTTATGTATTTCAATAACAATTATTTTTAGTCAGTGATGTACACCTAGTTATAGAACTTGAATGTTCTACAGACATGTCATTTATGTTTTATAATATTGTGGTCGCGTTGTTTATATTAAATCTCTCATCCGTTTGTTGAGTATGTGACATGTAAAGAACTAAAGCAAGCATAATTTGGTTCACACAGTCGTCTTACTTCTAAAATGAAAGTAATTTTAGAAAAATTAGGCGATGTTTTAGAACTACACTAAGCACATAACAAATTACCTAAAGCAGCATCTAGATAAAGTATCACTAAACATTCAAGAGAAATCATATTTAAGTTGATACACCATCTTTCAAACTATTGACAATAAGCTGCATGGTAAAGACAGTAAAACCTGTTCAAAAGTATGGGGGAGGCAGAATAACATGAGAACATTTCCTACATGTAGAACGCTGAATTTTTCTTTATAAACTATACTTGTCTATGGAAAAAAGGGAGATCTGTAAAAATTTATGTAAGGGGGAGAGCATGTCCAATTACGCATCACCTCCCTTCTTTGGTGACGCCACTTTTGACTAATCTCTGTGTGTCTAGCATTATGTTCATAGTTATATACAACAAACCATTTCTTATATAAGTAAGGAAATTTGAAAAATAAGCAAAAGTTAAACACAGGAAGAATGTATTTACACACAGAGGAAGAACGCGACCGAATCTATTTTTTGTGAAATGTTGATTCATGCAACACAGAGCTTTCAAAATTATACTTTTGATCATATTTTAGTTTAACAGTGTTAAGGTTTACTTTCATTGCATCCTTTACTGTTATATGTATAGTGTTTTTTTATTGATCATAAGTATTTACAATTGCGTGCAGTTGATAATGAAAATGCATTGATAACTTACAATGGGTTATTCAATAACAAAGGTCTTTATAAAATTTGAACTGACATTTGCAATAATATACACGTATGGATTTTTGATTAGTGAAGTGAAAAAATCGATTTAAAGTTTCAAAAATTGTGTCTTAATCATTCACATTCAAATCCTATTTTAGAAAGGTGATCCTTTATTTCTGAGTTTAAACTTGTTAAACTTTATATTATTAACAGTAGCCCTTTGTAATTTGACTCATTTCAATGTTATTATGTACTCTGCATGAGGTTCTTATTTATGTATTTTTATTTCAATAACAATTGTTTTTACTCAGTGATGTATACTTAGTTATATAACTAGAATGTTCTACATAGACGTCATTAATGTTTTATAACAGTGTTTGTTGAAGGAGATCCTGACTCACTCTTCATCTTCGTTCGTTATTTAAATGTGTTTATGTAACAAAACTTACATGGATAAAAGATTGATGTAACAATAAGGTATGAATTATGATCACAATTTTTTAACTGATATGTATGTGGTCGCGTTCTTTATATTAAATCTCTTATCTTTGTAAAATATGTGACATGTAAAGAACTAAAGCGAGCATAATTTTGTCTACACCAGGGGTCTCCAAACTACGGCCGCGGGCCAGATGCGGCCCGTTGGGCTTCCCAATCCGGCCCGCAGAGGCACTTCAGAAAAAATAATATTATTAAACAAAATAAATTTTGTGCAGAAAGTTTACGTTATGGCGCAAGCCAACTAGCAAGAGTGGCTTACGTCAATATTTCTCCCAACTTCCTCATTCCGTTTCAAGCACACTGCGAAATTTAAAAAGCTGAAGGATAATGTGGAAATTTTTTATATTCTTTGGCCCTCAACATGCTGGATGAAAGTTCATGTGGCCCTCTGGCTGTAATGTTTGGAGACGCCTGGTCTACACGGTCGTCATATATGAAGTCTTATTTCTAAAACGAAGGTAATTTGTCGAAAGTAAAGCGAGATTCTGAAACTATATTACCAACTTTACATAACAAATTTGCAACTGAAGCATCTCGATAATGTATGACTAAACATTCAAGAGAAATCATATTTAAGTTGATACACCATCTTTCAAACTATTGACATTAAGCTGCATGGTAAAGACAGTAAAACATGTTCAAAAGTATGGGGGAGGCAGAATAACATGAGAATATTTTCTACATGTAGGACGCTGAATTTTCTTTATAAACTATACTTGTCTATGGAAAAAAGGGGGATTTTTTAAAAATTTATGTAAGGGGGGGAGCACATGTTTAATTATGCATCACCTTCCTTCTTTGCTGACGCCACTTTTGACTACTCTCTGTGTGTCTAGCATTATGTTCATAGTTGTATACAACAAGCCATTTTTTTTATAAGTAAGAAAATTTGAAAAATAAGCAGAAGTTAAACGCATAAAGAATGTATTTACACGTAGAGGAAGAACGTGGCCGAATCAATTTTTTGTGAAATGTTGATTCATGCAACACAGAGCTGTCAAAAAAATATTTTTGATCATATGTTAGTTTAACAGTGATAAAGTTTACTTTCATTGCATCCTTTACTGTTATATGTATAGTGTTTTTTTATTGATCATAAGTATTTACAATTGCGTGCAGTTGATAATGTAAATGTATTGATAATTTACAATGGGTTATTCAATAACAAAGGCCTTTTTATAATATAAACTGACATTTGCAATAATATACACGTATGGAATTTTTGATTATTGAAGTGAAAAAATCGATTTAAAGTTTCAAAAATCTTGTCTTAATCATTGGCATTCAAATCCTATTTTAGAAAGGTCATCCTTTATTCCTGAGTTTAAACTTGTTAAACTTTATATTATTTAAAGTAGTCCTTTGGAATTTGACTTATTTCAATGTTATTATGTACTCTGCATGAGGCTCTTATTCATGTATTTTTATTTCAATAACCACTGTTTTTAGTCAGTGATGTACACCTAACTATAGAACTTAAATGTTTTACAGAGATGTCATTAATGTTTTATAATATTGAAAAAGATCTTGACTCACTCTTCATCTTCGTTCCTTATTTCAATGTGTTTACGTAACAAAACTCTCATGGATAAAAAAATAATGTTACCATAAGAAATGAAATATGATCACCATTTTTAACTGATATGTATGTGGTCGCGTTGTTTATATTAAATCTCTCATTCGTTTGTTGAGTATGCGACATGTAAAGAACTAAAGCAAGCATAATTTTGTTCACACGGTCGTCTTACTTTTGAAAGAAAGTAATTTTAGAAAAATTAAGCGATATTTTACAACTACACTAACGACATAACAAATTAGCTAAAGCAGCATCTCAATTAAGTATGACTAAAGATGCATGAGAAATCATATCTAAACTGATATACCAACTTTCTAACTATTGACAATAAGCTGCATGGTAAAGGAAAGCAAAACCTTTTCAAAGGTATGGGAGAGGTGAAATAGACGCCACTTTTGACTAATCGCTGTGAGTCTAACAAAATGCTGTTAATTGTATTAAGCAAACCTTTCATTTTAAAAGTAAGAACATTTGTAATATAAGCAAATCAACATTTGTAATATAAGCAAATGTTGAACACAGGAAGAATGTGTTTACACAGAGAAAGACGCAACCGAATCTATTTTTGGGAAATGTTCATTCATGCAACACAGTGAGCTTTTAAAATTATACTTTTGATCATGTTTAACAATTTTAAGGTTTACTTTCATTACAACCTTTACTATTGTATCCACAGTTTCTTTATTGATCATAAGTAATTAGAATTGCGTGCAGTTGATGTTTGCCATGTATTCGTAGTTTACAATGATTTACTTAATAACAAAGGTTTTTTATAATAAGAACTGACTTTTGCAATAATATAGATGTATGGAATTTTTCATTAATGAAGGAAAAAAATCCATTCACAGTTTCGAAAATCGTGCCTTAATCATTGCCATCCTGTACTAACTGACCCTTGAATCTTCTCAAGCTTATGCTGTAATTTGTATAGTCTAAACTATTTCCTTCTTTCCAAGGCAATTTGACACTGTATCTGTTACCATTAAACACAATAGAATCCTTTAACGATTCATGAACTTCATCTTCCTCTGCTATTCCTAAAGTTTCAAAACCCACAAACTGTTGACATTCTTATCTAAAATTAAATTTTCTGAACTTTCATGAGCAATGAAGTTTATTTGAGTGTGCATGTTATCTAAATCGTTTCTCGCTTTCATGGGGCCGGACAACACCCAACCTAACTTAGTAGACACAGCAACTGGTTCATCTACCTGTCCCCGAACAACATTTCCTTCCTGAAACCACCAATGATAATCTGCTCCAATCAAAACTTCAACGTTCAACCTTCCTTATCCTTGCAAACATCTGAAAACCACAGACCCTTTAAATGTGAGTAATCCATCTTTCTCAACTCTATATGTTTATTACTAATTTGAGATATACAGTCTACACTGTATGCCTCGATGCTTACACTCTTCCCCCCCTCCCCGTAACTACAACAACTCTAAGTTAAATACCTCTAGCAACTTACCTTTAGCCTTCTCTTGACCAAACGACTTGATTTCTATCCATTCCTTTCTACTAGCCTGATTACCTGCTCCTTTTATAATCTTTCTATTCACAAATGACTTGTGACTTCTTGAATCAGTGTTTGTGATTAGGAAGTTGCACAGAAGTTTTTACTTAGGTACTGTGAAGTAAAATACTGATTTCAAAGTTGAGGTTAACTTGAGATTGTAATCACACATCCTAGTGGTAGAAAAAAACAATAGACCACTGAGAGAAGGAATATCTTCATTGCTAAAACCTTAAAGTTAGGTACCCTATCAAAGATTTCTTTTTAAATCTTATAGTTCCAGACTTGAAATGCAGCCTTTAGATAATCTTTGTAGCTTGCAAATGTCTTTTGTTGATGCTAAGGTTTATTTATGCAAAGTTTCGTCGTATTAAATAATTAAAAAACTGAAATTCTGTGATTTCCTCATCAATCTGATGTTGAACATTTTTATAACTTCATCAATACAGTTAGGCAATCAAATAATTCTGGACATCACGTGATAAATCAGTGAAAACACAAACTGTGCAACAGCCGTTTTTTTACGTCACTTCTGGCATTCAAAACAAAGACAAAACATAAATTTCCATATGAATTTGGAAACTCTCTATAGTTGTCCTTATTCAAACTAAAGCTTGATTTGTTATGTCCTCTGAATGCCAGCTCCTTTAGTAAATATTTGTCTTCCTTTTTTTCCTTTTATCCTCATTATGACGTTTCACAGCCTCTCTCCTTGTCTTTCAGAATAAAACTTCCTCGTTAACATCGTTGTCCATAATGTTTAACACTTGCAAATATAAAAAAGTTATTTCATTTTTTATGATTCTCGAAAACGTCGCAAAATGATGATTTTTTATACATAGCCAATGCTGTTCGCAGCAGTACACCATCACAAGAAACTATGTTTAATTTCTCCCTTATCGAAACTGTTAGAATCTGCTATCTCTTCGTTTTCTTTTCAGTCAGTGCGTACCATAGAGATGTGCTATAAATTACGGACATTCTGATCTAAAATATTTTGCGAACTAAAAGGTCTTTGTAAAAGCTCATAGAAATTATATCTGAAAACTTTTATCGTATTTGTAGATACGCGTTCTAAAAAAGTCACGACCAATAGGCAATATTCAACATTCCAGTTTACGTTAATCATCCCCTCAAAACGCGTTAGTTTATCAACATAGATTATAAATTCTCATTTCATATTAAAATTTAATGAAAATAGTGGTTCATGGTCTTAAAATTGATAAAGAATTTTACCATTGCCAATCAATTGTCGTACATAGCCAAAGCAAAACAGGATCTTGTGTTACAACATGTTGTAAAACATATATATTTATAAAATCAAGTTTCAAGTAATGCGTTAGAGTCAATGAAATTAAAAAACATAAACCTTAGTAAATTTAAAAAAGACCATTACCTACAACATTATAACATATTCTTAGATACAGAGGCATGACGTTCACAAATGATTATGCAAATTATTGAAGAATATATTCTTATGTCTGTTTTGTAACGTAAACTTTAAGGTAAAATATCATGTTTTTTTAATTTTTCTAAAGGTTGTTTGATAGGATACTGCAGTTGGTAAAAGCTGTAGCATACATGCTCTCTGTCATTATTAGTTTTTAGGTTCTTTTGTAATTTTAAGACGATTTTTGGTGAAGTTAAATCAATTGAACCTAATAAGGGTTGTATAATATTTTTTTATTTGCTTGATTTTTATCTTGTTGATATATACCAAATTTTTGTACAGATGGAATCGCCCGGAATAAGAAATCTGTCTTACATTCAGCAAATAATTAAAGTGGTGCAAAAGGAACTTGCTCAGTTCTTCATTAAACAATGGAACTCTCGTTACAAATCAGCTTATGGAGAATGGGATGATACACACAACAGTGGTAACAAATTTTACAATTTAGAATCAAGAAGAAAGTTAGACCAAAAAACTCGACAAAAATATCAAGATGGAGATACCAGTAAGTGGGACAGTACAATATTATTTGATGCAATAATTTTTTCAAATTCAATTGGAAAGCACCTTGACACAAAAACAAAGGATGCTGTTCATGCACTTCGTTGTGAAAGAAACAAGTACGCACATTGGTATAAAAGCGAATGCTCAGATGATGATTTTGATGATATAGTCAACATCATTGAAAAATCATTTCAAGATTTGAAATTTCCTCTCGATGAAATCATTAAAACTAAAAGTCATCGTGACAGTTTTGACTTATTTCAAGTTCTTCCTTCAAAACCTAATCATTTTTTTGTTGAACGCACTGAATTACGAGATAAAATTATAAAAGATCTTAAAAAATTAAGGAATGATAACAATGATAAACTGACATATTTTTACATCACTGGTAATCCTGGCAGTGGTAAATCACAACTTGCAAGACAGGTTTGTGAAAAAATATCTTGTGATTGGAACAATAGAACTTCGTTTGTAATGACTCTCGATGGAAAAAATGAGGAATCTCTTTTAAAAACTTACTGTGAACTTGGATACCGTTTAAACTGTGACAAGGATATGATTAAAAAATTTGAAGATGAAAATTGTTCCATCGCAGACAAAGTGAAGAATTTGCGATCGTTAGTATCCACACGATTAAAATTCTGGCAAAATTGGTTGATCATTGTAGACAACGTTGCACAGCTTAGCAAAATTTCTTCATTACTCCCCCAAGTTGGTGATCCCATGTGGATAAATGGACAAATCATAGTAACTATCCAGAACACAGATGCCGTACCTCAAGACGATGAGTTTAACAAACATATTTCTATTAGAAATGGAATGAATGATAAAGAATGTTGTCAACTGTTGGAATATTACACTAAAGTTGATAATACTGATGATCAATTGTTGAATGAAGTATCCCACGTATTAGATCGTCAACCGCTGGCTTTGGCTGCCGCTGGTTGTTATGTCAGTCGTGTAAACAAAGCAAACTGCTCATTTACTTGGAAAGAATATTTAAAGAAAATATCTTCAGAAGAACAAAAAAACATGGACGCCACTTTTGTTAAATTTAACTCGGCATATCCTAGAAGTATGTTACAAGCTTCACTTTTAGCTGTCAGACAAAATGCTGAAGAATCCTCAATATTGGTAAATGTTATTAACTTTTTTTCCGTGATATCGTTTGATCCTATACCACGGGACATTATTATTTGTTATGTTCAAAAAATAGATCCCAAACACTCGAAGGAAGATATATGTCTTTGTTTAAAGGACTGCTCGTTGTTCTTGCATTCAGAAAATAATGACATTAGTCTACATCGCATTGTTCACAAAGCAATTATTGTTTATCAATCTGAACATTCAAATGAAGAACATGAAATGGAAAGTAACGTTGATCAAATATCTAAAGCACTTTACATGTTTAAAGAGAGAGACGACGAAATCAAATTAATGCCACATCTTGAAAAAATTGTTCAATTATTAAAGACCAACAAGAGAAAAATCAACATGAACAATTTACAAGTTTTCCAATATTTTGTTGACAGATTAACTCATTTTGGAAAGTACGATCTTGCTCTTGAACTATTGGATAAATTTAAATCAGAACAGTCTAGTTATGACAAAGCTTGGTATTTTAATATACTTGGTTATTTATACCATGTTACCGGGAAGTATAGCAAAGCTAAAAATCATCACGAAAAAGCTCTGGAAATTCAAAAACAATCGTTAGTTCCAAATCATGTTGATGTCGCCGGGTCTTTAAACAATCTTGGTTCGGTCTTTGAAACGACTGGAAACTACGACAAAGCTAAAAATCATCATGAAAAAGCTCTGGAAATTCAAAAACAATCTTTAGGTCCAAATCATGTTGATGTCGCTAGGTCTTTAATTAATCTTGGTTCGGTCTTTGAAACGACTGGAAACTACGACAAAGCTAAAAATCATTATGAAAAAGCTCTGGAAATTATAAAACAATCGTTAGGTCCAAATCATGTTGATGTCGCTACGTCTTTAATTTATCTTGGTGCGGTCTTTGATAAGACTGGAAACTACGACAAAGCTAAAAATCATTATGAAAAAGCTCTGGAAATTATAAAACAATCGTTAGGTCCAAATCATGTTAATGTTGCTGCGTCTTTAAGCAATCTTGGTAATGTGTTTTATAAAACTGGAAACTACGACAAAGCTATAGAGTTTCATGAAAAAGCTCTGGAAATTACAAAACAATCGTTAGGTCCAAATCATGTTAATGTTGCTGCGTCTTTAAGCAATCTTGGTAATGTGTTTTATAAAACTGGAAACTACTACAAAGCTATAGAGCTTCACGAAAAAGCTCTGGAAATTCAAAAACAATCGTTAGGTCCAAATCATGTTGATGTCGCTAGGTCTTTAGAAAATCTTGGTGCGGTCTTTGAAAAGACTGGAAATTACGACAAAGCTAAAAATCATCTTGAAAAAGCTCTGGAAATTAAAAAACAATCGTTAGGTCCAAATCATGTTGAAGTTGCTGCGTCTTTAAACAATCTTGGTGTGGTGGTACATGATACTGGAAACTACGACAAAGCTATAGAGTTACTTGAAAAAGCTTTGGAAATTCAAAAACAATCGTTTGGTCCAAATCATGTTGATGTCGCTACGTTTTTAAACAGTCTTGGTGAGGTGTTGCATGAAACAGGAAACTACGACAAAGCTATAGAGCTTTATGAAAAAGCTCTGGAAATTCAAAAACAATCGTTAGGTCCAAATCATGTTGATGTCGCTATGTCATTAAACAATCTTGGTAATGTGTATTACAAAACCGGAAACTACGACAAAGCTATTGATTTTTACGAAAAAGCTCTGCAAATTCGAAAACAATCGTTAGGTCCAAATCATGTTGATGTTGCTGCGTCTTTAAGCAATCTTGGTAATGTGTATAATGATACTGGAAACTACGACAAAGCAATAGAGTTTGATGAAAAAGCTCTGGAAATTCAAAAACAATCGTTAGGTCCAAATCATGTTAATGTTGCTGCGTCTTTAAACAATCTTGGTAATGTGTATAATGATACTGGAAACTACGACAAAGCTATAGAGTTTCATGAAAAAGCTCTGGAAATTCAAAAACAATCGTTAGGTCCAAATCATGTTGATGTCGCTAAGTCTTTAAACAATCTTGGTAATGTGTTTCATAAAACTGGAAACTACGACAAAGCTATAGAGTTTCATGAAAAAGCTCTGGAAATTCAAAAACAATCGTTAGGTCTAAATCATGTTGATTTCGCTACGTCTTTAAACAATCTTGGTAATGTGTTTATTGATACTGGAAACCACGACAAAGCTATAGAGTTTCATGAAAAAGCTCTGGAAATTCGAAAACAATCGTTAGGTCCAAATCATGTTGATGTCGCTACGTCTTTAAACAATCTTGGTGGTGTGTTTAAAAAAACTGGAAACTACGATAAAGCTATAGAGCTTTATGAAAAAGCTCTTGAAATTCGAAAACAATCGTTAGGTCCAAATCATGTAGATGTCGCTAGGTCTTTCAACAATCTTGGTTTATTGTTATAAAAATTGAAAACTACGACAAAGCTATAGAGTATTATGAAAAAGCTCTGGAAATTCAAAAACAATCGTTAGGTCCAAATCATGTTGATGTTGCTGTGTCTTTAAACAATCTTGGTAATGTGTATAGTGATACTGGAAACTACGACAAAGCGATAGAGTTTCTTGAAAAAGCTCTGGAAATTCGAAAACAATCGTTAGGGACTAGTCAGGTTAATGTCGTTAAGTCTTTTAAAAAATTTAGGTGTGTTGTATTATGAAACTGGAGAATATGACAAAGCTTTACAGTTACACTTTGGTAGCTACGTGTTTCAAAGAAATTGTGCTTTCTAAATTATGTTTAGCCTATTTTTAACACATAGACCGTAGGAGCAAGACTTCCACCTGCCAAGTCAACTCCCCTCTCCCTTAGAAGGTATTTTTGGTAGTGAATAAAACGCTTGAAATTTGCATTTTGTGAGGTAGAATGAACCTAAAGATGTAATGGTCCTTGTCTATATATTGTTTCACTGATATCTAGTCAATAAACTTACTCTACAGCCCAGGGAATCATCCTAAGTTGAACGTAGAACTGCCGATGCCCTGAATCTAACATTCTCCTTTAGACTTTATGTCTAAAGTAATTTGTTTTTATGTTATAACCAAGTAGTAATTTTTATTGTATGATTTACAAACATACTAAAGTATATTGGGATGACAGAATTTTGTTAAATAAATACTATCCTGTTCGTTGTTCATATTCTTTGATGCATTCAGTAATTTTTTACCCAGCTCCATAAGCCTATGACCATATTCCAGGTTCCTATAATTTCCAAGGGGTGCACCTTTCATTCCATACATACCACCCCACCATGCTGCAGCCAATATTCCTGTGCCGTCACTATCTCCGCCATGAAACATAGAACAAGAGCACAAGTGAAACCAGGAATCTTTGGCCCTCATCAAAGCATCGTAAGCAATCATTGGTACATCATGACCACTGGACCCACTCCAACCTGCATAACTGACAGATTTATATAAAGCATCACGTTCAGGTATGTTATAATTCACTGGAAACTTTGGTTCACTGCTTCCATTTGTTAATCCCCGTAGTTCAAGATATGACTCCCAACTATTTTTAAAGTAGCCCCAAGATTTCTTGTTTTCTTCTACATCACGACCAACCTACTCAATATATTCCCGAACTTTGGGTAAAACACTTAAAAGTCCTGCTCCCCATTTTTTTGGAGCCATCTTCTGTATAGCATAGGCAGTAAATAAAGCTGCAGTAACAGCCCCAAGATAACCTATAATTAAAATCATTATCTTTAAAGATTGCTAATTTTAGGTCACTTATATTATGATGACCCTATTTACATAATAGCAGCATTTTGATATGGATCTTGGATTCAATGGCTGTAGTAGTGAAGATATTAAAGCAAAACAGCAATGGCAATTCATACAGCTTTTAGAAGACAGAAATTTGGAAATGTGGAAAAGCGATAAAAGGGATGGATCAAAGATATGGTCATTAAAAGTGAGCAATGTTAGAAGGATGGGGGCAGTTGAAATGTGGTTCTAGAAAATGATGGATTGCATAGACTTATGCAAACCTAAGGTCAACCTTCTTTTATTTCATTTATAAATTGAAAGTACTAAGCTTCCCTCAACTTAGTCAACTAATAAAAACGTAAAATCTTTTCTTTGCTTTGTTCCAATATTGTTTCATACTATTTAGATTTAGACGAGAGCGTTGGGAGACTGGGACTGTTATTTTGTAATCCTTAATCTTTACCCAATTCCATGATCTTCAATCTGATAAACATGTTGCTTCTTGCAAAGATTCTTTAAAATTTAAAAGTTCCTTCCTTATATCATGGATTATCCGACACGGATTTAATCGAAACTTGACAATTTGATTGCACATATACTAAAAAACAGTGTATTGGGAATCGAACCCAAAGACTAAATTTTCCGCTCTTTGAAGATACCCCACAGTTGGGCTGTTTTTTTTCTTGGAAAGTTCAGACGATTTTGGCTATTGAACATATTTTGAATATTATAGAGTTCCAAAATTTGATCTTTGTAGAATTTTTGAAGCTTAAATTTGGTAAGTTATTGCTTGATCGTAATAGACAAAAACAGGTCAAGAGCTTTGTCGTTCACAATTTAACACTTCACAATTTAAAGTCACAAACAATAAACAATTATCAGCTTTTTTATAATGCCGGTTTAGCAGTAAAATGCTTCAATATCCAACTTTACGCCCCAAATACATGCAAGTTTAACTTTCACATTTACATTAAGTGTTAAGTAAATAAATATAAAAATGATTAAACTGAAATCACCCCAACTGTTCTAAATTGCAGAATTGCTTAAATATGACGCTGTTTTTTTAACGAAAGTGAAGATGGCTGTAAATTTTATCTGATAGACCTTAGGCTCGCTCAGCTAAGCATCCATAGCCTTCAAATTGCATTTCTTTTTGTTCCATGGTTGTATATGACAAGTAGTACAAGTTTAGTCCCACACCAAGGTCACTGTTTTTTTTTGATGACTTAACCGAAATAAAAAGTCCCTATTGGAAAAACCTGAACGATATAAACCAAAACCGAACACAACGGCACGAAAATTTGGAGAATACTGAAGAGGAAAAAACCATTAGGGATTTCAGCCGAAGTTCCGCGCCCCGGGGGACCCTTAGAAACAAAAATCTTTACTTACCTTTGCAACGATGCAAATAAAAAAAGAAAACCGTCAATTTCTCAAAGACACCTTCAAGTCAAAAATCTTTCAAGTATTTTAGTTATGGATATAATTCGCCATTTTTAACGTACATACAACTTACGTACAAACCGCCACATTTTAGTTTTACCGCACGTAAACCGATCAGCGAACTCGACAATTTTCTACTTTGGACGAGAAAATTGTGTAATTTGGATGGGAATTTCTTTTAACGTGTGTTTTTCTTATCTAATCCACATCCGAATCAGTCGCACCTAGCGCCACCTTAGCAGTCCCTATTTTGCACCGTTTCATTCAGTGCTTTGCGCGCCCGGTGCCACTAACGCTTAAAGTTGGAGCAAGCGCTTGCTGCATGACATGGATTAGATAAATGTACTTCAAAATATTTTAAGCAGACAGACGAAATTTAATATTTTTTGAAACAATTTAGAACACTTGAAGAAGCACACGTTAAGTTTGGTTACCGAGGGACCGTGGATGGTTTAACCAAACAACCGGCAGCGCTTGATTTAAGTTATGTTTTAGTTTGACAATTATCACATAGATGACTACATAGCAACGCGAATGGTGAACATGGAAACCATCGTGTAACTATTTTGTATCATATGTGACAACGTCTGCGGTTTGTCTTCATGGTAACCATCAAAGAAAACAAACAATGTGCTTTTATTAAAACTATGTTTCGTGTTAGTTTGGTTAATATGAAGCCATTCCGCATACTTAGACCTGGTGTACTAAACATTTTTTATGCCTGTTTTTGCTGTGGCTTGCCGCATCGAAATTCCCAGGAATGAAGTTTTCTTAATAAGAAAACAACATATCCATTTTTACATTTACAGTAATTGCCACGCCGCTCCTAAACTGTAAATGTCTTGACAAACTGAAGACTATTTGAGTTTCAATTTGTCGATTTGAAAATGACTGACAAGATTAAAGTTTCCTTCGAAAGATTTTGAAAAATTTAGTCATTTCTCTTGATAGTGGAGTTCATCCTTTAAATTTATAAAGGTTCTAACCCCATACTCATTATCTAAGCGTAGCAACTACTCGCTGCAACTACAGCGCATGCCTAAGCTATCTAAACTTCCTACCTGCGCATGGCACCGGAATTCCGCCCTGAAAGGAATGCCCTTGAAGGAGGTAACCCATCATGCCCTTAACTTAACTTAACCTAGTGCATGTTGCACCTACGGGCGACCTCCAACCGGGGTGGGTTGAACAACTCATGCATTATAGGGGATCCATGCAGAAGTGCCTTAATAGTCAATGTAGAAAGCCGTTCATGAAATTGGCCAACTACAACGACTGCATGCTCTTACCGTACTAGGGTAGAGATATTTTTCTTTCCACCAAAACCACGATCTTTCCTTGGTCTTCAATAGGCCTTGCTCGCTTGATCCAGTCTTCAAAGGTCTTCTTACAGATGCTATTTGCATCCTCTACGCTAAGGTACCATTTGTACTCACTAACCCCAAGTTGAAGTTGCCTTCCTTGGGCCAAACTTCACTTGCATTTCCGATTCTGAGCTATGGTCCTGCCTGTCCTTCTGCGAGGCAACAACCGCTGCGATCATGCGTAGCTCCTTAAAGCAGTATATTCACACAGAGGTTTTCGAAGATAAATTATATAGAACAACACAATTGTTCCATGCTAGTCACAGACTTGAAATAGTTGATACAAATTCACGCTTACTAAGACACAAATTTTAAAAAGAACTAAAGTAGCACGGATAAACACTATTGGATTATTTTGACCAAAAGAACACTTTTATTACCTCTTAATCAAGACTATTTTTGAAAATGCAGATGTAAATTTCTTTAAATATATTTATTTGCATTCCTGCATTAAAAAAATAGCCTTACAGTGGAATATACTGAACACCAGGATTTGTTGTGGCTATTGCCAGAATTATATTAGAGATTTGACCTGTTAACAGGCCTAACTAAATAAATGGTTTATTATTATTACACTTACGGTTTTCGACGAATCCTTGGCAGTTCGACGACAGACTACGATGAATGACAAATCTCATGCCAATTGTGAAGATGAAACGATCGGATGTTGAGCAAGGACAGCCACAAAAAAGCCCAAAATAATTTTTTGAAAAATTCAGAACGTTGATGGTGAAACCATCGTATCCAATTTTCAGGCTACCTGACAAACATCACCGCTTTTATGTCGACGACGGCAAGCACAGAAACAAGATTGGCCATTTCTTGCAACTGTGCATGTCGTCTACGGCATTAAATCGGAAATATCGACAGCCAGTCGGAAAATTAGGATTTTAGGTTTTCATTTTCATGTTAAAGAAATTCCATGTTTTTAGTACAAACATTTTCAATTAAGTAATGTTGAAATTTGGGCATTTGATAGCGGCGTGGTTTTCTCCATCATTGCGATTGATTGACCAGTAGTGATGTTAGCAGGAAAACTCGCAGGAAAATGTTTTAGAAAAGGTCATAATATTGACTTTTCCATGGAAACAGGTGTTAGGCTGATGGCTGCCATGCTCCAGAAGAGTGTTTAGCGCTTGCATTCTATGTAGAGATGGTCTTTAGGGCATTAGAAGTCACGTATTTTTCAATTTCATCAAAGTATATTGTTCATTCTTGATCATTGTTCAGAAGAGTTCATTAAAGTATATTGTTCATTCTTGATCATTGTTCAGAAGAGCTCATCAAAGTACATTGGCCATTCTTGATCATTGTTCAGAGGTCTTCGTTAAAGTAAATTGTTCATTCTTGATCATTGTTAGAAGAGTTCATTAAAGTATATTGTCCATTCTTGATCATTGTTCAGAAGAGCTCATCAAAGTATATTGTTCATTCTTGATCATTCTTCAGAGGACTCGTTAAAGTATGCTGTTCATTCTTGATCATTGTTCAGAGGATTTCATTAAAGTACGTATATTGTCCATTCTTGATCAGAAGGTTTCTACAAAGGACAATTGAAGCCAATGTCAGTTGACACTATACTTCCATAAATGAAAAACATTGATAACATACTTACATTGAGCATTTTATTTACTAGTAATGTAGTTCAAGGGAAGAAGAATTTCACCAAATTACAGAATTGTATTTTGTTTTATGTTTAGATGAGCGTGGAGGAACTGGTCGACAACAGCCACAATTCTCTTCAACCGCTGTGAACAATAACCACTTTCTTTAATTGTGGAGTCCCCCATCATGGTAAATACACCAACATTTGTTCGTTGTTTCTCAATCTCATTTGATGACTAATTGTCGTTTAAGAGAAGAATGTCCGTGTCTAAAATAGAGCATAGAGGAAACAAAGTTACTAAGACGGAAACTTTATGGGAAGGCCACACTGCACTTTGCATTAATGAACATCACATGCAGTGTCCCAATTCAATGTTTACTCAATGCAAAAGAACTTGAAACAAGACATTTACCTGAATATTTTTCAAAGCACTCCAAGAGATATTTCACCGTGGAATAATTTTGACTTCGGCTAACTGTTCTTCGTGCAACTGCAGACATTCACGTTCAAATGGCACGTTCTTAGTCTTAGACTATGGCCCAAGTTTCACGAACGTGTTGTATTCTGATTGGTCAGTGACTAGGTGTGTTGTTAACTGTTGTGTTCTGATTGATCATTTACTAGGTGTGTCGTCAATTGTACATTGTGAAATTTAGAATTTGCATGATTCATCACTTTGAAGTAATTAATCCCCATAGAGCGGTAAATGCAATTTAATACAATATAAATAAAACGTATACTTCAGTTACAGCAAATAGAAAATCCCAAACATTTAAGTCTCCTTGGGGAACAACTACAGCTGAATCATGCAAATTCTAAAGGTCCACTGATGTCAAAAATGATTTGATAAACCCTCTAGATTGTTGATTTCATCTCATTTTCTTATTGTATTTATTATCATCAACATTTGATCTATTTTAATTAGCATTCTACAGGGTGTATATAAAAACGACGTTTGGCAATTAAACTACTGTAAAATTTCAAAACCCAATCACTGTGCTAACCTCACTAGTGCATTACATTTTCAATGGAGGAAAATCTTTTGTGCTTGAATCAACGTAGCTAACAATGTTCCATGCACCTGTGGGCTTGACGTAGTGACAGACATTGAAATTATACAAAGGTCTTCAATGGTAAATTAAGGCTAACCAACTAATTTTGCACACATCAAAGGAATGAACTGGATAGAAAAATATTATTAGAATGTATGTATATTCATGGTTGTATAATTTTACAACAATAACGTTTCGTCTTTAGCTGAAGACATCTTCATATTACAATACATACATGTAGGAAGTAGTAAATCCTATTCTTAGAAATTTTGTGCAATGCTTACAATAACGACTGTATGCATTACGCTTCTTCTCTGAAATAAAAAGGTTATATTACTCACTGTAATACTTTGAAACTTACAAATGAAATATTTTACGTAATACTTACGATAAAGATTGTTTCAGCAAGAAATCTCTTTACACATAGCGCGGGAAAGATCGCCAAAAAGTCATATGACGTATTGATCAAAATTGGTCACGTGTCAAGTCGTATAAACATTCGTCAGCAAGAGCTGGGTGACGCGGGATATGTAAATTGATCAAATCGTGCTGAGATAGCACAACATTTAATAGCATAGTAGGTTTCGTGTGATGTATTTAATATACGATTGTTTTCATTTCAAGTTAAATATTATGTTTTAACTTGTTAAAACCCAGTATGATGTACTATTATATAGTAGCAAATACTGACAAATTATATCTGTATATAACACATACAATAAAGAGTCCTTGAAGTTGATGCATCAGGAAATTCTTCTACTTTGTAGACATATTATATTTATATATACTGAACTATACGTATGTTATATATATACAATATAACTTATACAATTTCTATGCTCTGTTTTTTTCGACAGACATCCTACAAGTTTTACCTTTTAACCATTATGTGTAGAAGGAACAGTTTGTTTTGTCGATGTCGTCGTTGAAACAGATGATACCGTTGAAGTTTGCCTGTAAAATATTTTCTGAAAGTTTAGAGAAAAATTGATAAACTATTCATGAAATAATATGTAGTAGCATTTTGATTTTCTTTCTAAAACAAGCCAAAGTTTGAGTTCTTTGTGTTGTATTATTACGAAATAAAAGATTTTTACTGTGTTTGCACGGGCTTATGCAAACCGAGGAGACCTTTAGGAGAACACGAGAGCAGATCAGTGCAAGCCCGAAACCGAAGGTAGAGTGTTGCACATGTTCAAGAGTTCTCACAAACGTCTCCGAGGTTTGCATAAGCCAGTGCAAACAGGAACAATATCTTTTTAAAAAAATATCAATAATGTGAAATACACAAATTTAAAACAAACGTTTTAATTTTTCCTCTAAGATGTATTCATGATTGATTTGCGAATTCTCTTTGATTGATTTGATTTGTTGAGCTCAGATCGGTTTGCACAAGCTAATGAAAACACAGCTTCAGACCAATCAGCGCATGAGCTTGATTGCTTTTTGTTCTTGTTTTGACTTTCAATTTTTCTGTCTATTCTTGCCTTACAAACATTAACACTAAAAATCGTTTAATATTCTGTATATTGAACAATAAATTACACTCAAACATGATCACGTGTTTACTCACATGAAAAGATCACGTGTTTACTCACATGAAAAAGATCACGTGTTTACTCACATGAAAATGGAAAGTATTTGAACAAAGAACTCTTGCAAGGATTTTCACCTAACTCTGGAACAGCACAAAGACTATAATTGATCAATTTTCTCAAGTAATTTTCCAATTGTTTCCGACGTGTTTCCACAAAATTGACGTCACGATTTCCAATAATTTTCTTCGCGGGAAACGTGAATTGTGCAACAGGTTTAAACTGCTTGCTTGTCTGTGCATAAAAGGAAAAGGAAGGGATTGTACATTACGGCAAAACAATATGATTAAAAAAATTAAAATACTGATGTTTATTAAAAACGTTCTTATGTAGGGCATAAAAATCCGAGTATCGTTTGTAAACATTCCATTCATCGTCTTTGATACGGATATAAACCTTGTGAAGTAAACAATGTTAAATTCTTTATTGAAGACAATAACTGGACCACTGAGCAGATGATTTATATATGCATGAGCACTGTGGTGACTCTACAATACAATCCATACAATGTGTAACCGTACGTCCTGTATCCCAAGTGCAGGAATCACAATTTTACTATGGTGATAGCCGGGAGGGCACATTGTATATACACTTTGTATATATATAACAGTATAAAACAGTATAAATCCGTATAAAACAGTGCTCGATGCTCGAGAGCAGAGCGTAAATATGTTTAGTGGTGTTGAGAAAAAATCACAAAATTACAGATTCATCCCGACAAGCCAGTTTCGTGATTAAAGGAAAATCCCCAGAAGAGTGAGCAGTCACGAAACAGGCTTGTCCGGATCAATCTGTAGTTTTGTGATTTTTTCTCAACACCACTAAACATATACATATGAAAAGTGAAATATTTGAGCAGTAAATTAAAACTACGACATGATCTTTTAAATACGATGACCACAAACACTTTTGTCAAGGGTGATGTATTTGAAACGAGGAAAATACCAAATATAGATCATAAATCTTGAAATATAGTCCCTAGTTATCCCTAACCTAGTCCAGATAACCATCAACATCACATCGGAAGAGTTATTTACTTTTTAGAGATAAATATATGGAAAAATTATACCTGATAAGAATGGTGAATGTTTGGAGACTTTCCTTGTACAAAAACAGATGGAATCCAAATGTTAATTAAAGGACGAGTATTGACAGACATGAAATTTGGACCAAACTCCGTCAAATATAAACATTCATCATGATTATTGTCCTGAGGAAGCTAGAACATACGAAGATACGTAGTTTTATTAAGAAATATTTAGAAAATCAAAAGAATATTTACTGCTTTTCATATTCATACCAAACAGTTCATATTGTACATACCGATCAATATTGTACATCTATTGTACTATAATGAACACACCGGTCTTTATTGAACATACCGGTCCTCTAAGATTGACAAGCTCTTCTTTTAATATTCTTAGCTGACATTCACGAACATTCAACATTTTTTGTAGTCTTTCATTGAGTTCAATAAGTTCGCCATGCATATCAGCGACCTTTAAACATGATAAACAACATTTCATCACAACTTACGCCATGAGGTCATCACCATGAAATTCCCAAGGGATGAACAAGAAACGCGAAACCAGTCAGAGTGGCGAGTTTTTTTAAACATATATCACAACTTCATTTCAGTTATTTATCCTCAGTTTTCATAAGTCAAAATATCTTCTTGTATTAGATATTTCTTAAAGTCATCGTGTGCATCGTATAAAAGAGTTTTCTATTAAATAAATTTCGGCTCATCTTCATGCAACATATGATACCTGAAGACCTTTTAAGGCAAATGTTTCGTTTTGTAAAAGTATTATGGTTTAATGGAAATCTTACTTGGATCAACTTCCGCTCAAAATCTTTGTTTTCTTCCTTTCTACAAGAAAGAAACGAAATTCAACGCCGTTGATTCACTTTTGCTACAAATTTACGGTAAATACCTCACTTCGTCGACGTCAGATTCCGGAGAAAGAATGATAGAAGAAAGTCTTTCATTTTCTGGAGCTACACAAAAGATTATCGAATATCTTAGATTTCTACATCTATTTTAAAGATAAACTATCCCTCTAGTAAACCTTCTTCCATAATGTCATTTCTTTTCAACGATTGAACAGCACCCACGTATTTCTTTAGTTGGTGTTTGAGCAAATCATTTTCACTAAAGAGCAAAAACGAACAGGTCAACAGACATCTTTGATTAACGGAAATGCAGAGTTCTCAATGTCCTAACCTTTTAAGCCGTTAAGAGCGACGCAATTTTCTTCATTTTTCGACGACATATCTCTTTTAAATCTTCTAATTGAAGACGAAGAGAAGCTGACTTCATCATCTCTTTTCCAAATGTTGTTGTAACGATCTACAGGAAAGATGATCGAAGGAAAAATCAGGGCAAAATAGTGTATATTCGAATGGAATGTTAATATTAAACGAAGGACGATAATACAACCTGTTACGTTCTTCAACTTCATCTTTTCTTAACATCATCGATACAATCGCCTGTTTTAATTCCTCTTCAAGAACAAAAAACCACGTATTTATTGACATTCATGAAATTATAATTATTCACGCATACAAATATTCAGTTCACATGATGAAATTTGACGGATGTATCCAAACAAACAAAGCAACTACGATACAAATAGTAAAATCCAATTGCACTAAATATTTCTATATTTAAAACTAACTCTACCTGCTAATAGCCCATTTATAGTTTGAGAACCTGAGGCAAAAGTGCCTCTCCGTTCCCAAAACATTTTTCCAAAAGATATAAGAAATAAAACCATTTAAATACATGAATAGAAAAACACACAAACCTGAAGTCATTTCTTTGCCTGATGGATATTCCTCTGATGGCTAAAGAACGAAAACATACCAAATATAACGAACTAAATATAACAAAGATATTTACACATGGCTTTCTACCCTCCCTCCCCTGAAAAAGATAAAAGCATTTCATGATTAACTAACATTCATACAACCATCACCCATGGTTCTGACCAATGACGATCCTGAGTAATCATTAATTTCTATGCTACCATCACGTGTGGCACATATCGCTGCAACAGTTGCCCCAATTGCTAAACTTGCATCATTCTCGACGTCTTCATCAGTGTAAATACTGAAAACAACATAAATTACCACCTCAGTTAAAATGGTGAACTCGTTAGACATTCTTCTCGATAAAATAATGAAGTATCTTCTAACCTTGAAACGGGAGAATCATTTATTGAATGAACTAAATGTAGTGACGTCTCAGGTGAAACAGTAAATCGCTCATTTTCATCTGACATAGCTAGACTCCTAACTCCTTTATCGTCATCGGGGCAAACTACGGGAATTAGAGATACACCGCTGTTCATATCAACAAGAGGCTCAAACACCTCTTCCTCCGACAAGAGCGACGAGTCAGTGTAATGCCCTGATTGCAAAGATGTTGTCAAAGAATGATTTTTTTTCAAATCATTCGCAGTTTTAAACTCGTTTTTAAGATGCAGAACTTCCTGGCTTTTCTTTGTTAATCGAGCCACTTGTTCATCTGTTTCATTCTCCTTGTTCTCAACGTTGGTTTTCGCCATTGTGGAAGAAAAAGTTGAATTCTCAGAATTCGAACAATAAGCCAACTGAGAGTTCTTTGGCATTTCAAGAAAATCGTCAGGCCTTTTAGTGAAAGAATGGTTACCACGAGCATGTACCTGAGAATCAGTATTACGTTGTAATATGTCGTATGCCGCTCGGGTAAAACTCGTGGCACTATCGTGAGCAGTCGTTGTTGTGGAAGAACTACCATGAGAACTGACAGTAGAAGTTCCTTCTTCCGTCTCTTTGAATTCAACATTTTCAATTTGAGCAATGTTTGCTTTCTTTTTTTTACGTTTTTTCTTTTCTTTTCCTGAAACACAAAAGAAAGATAAAAGTTACAAATTAATAAAGACGCGCGAGGATAAATGACTACGCATTGTTCAAGTATGATAAAGAATAAATGAGGACGCGCGGTTAAGGGATGATAAGGGATGATAAGGGATGAATAAACAACAGGTATAGTTAAGGGATAAATGAAGACATGTAATAATGGGATAATAAAGGTTAAGGAGAACGCATGGTTGGGGGATTACAAGGAATAAATGACATGTGTGGTTAAGGAATGATAAGATTAGCGATATATGAGATGAATGGTAGGGATAATTAGGGATAAAAGGGATATTTTTGATCAGGAGAGAAAAATGAAATTCTGATCAAATCTTTATTTTCTTAAAATGTTGTATTTAACAAACTTCACCAGGAGCTCCTGACGTCGCATACATTGGTGATGGTACAGCCCATATTGATGTTGGACGAGAAACTGCTTGGCTGATATTGCCTGGAATCTAAAAATTAAATTAAATTCAAGTAGTTAAAGAAAAGTACATTCATAGCTTCCACTTTTTACTATCCATTTCTATTTGCAAAGATTCATTTTAAACAATATCAATAGCATTCCAGCATACCTGTACAGTAATAGAGTTAAACTCAGCTTTGTCAATGTCAATTGCAAAAAGAATTGAACTTAAGCCTTAAAGAAGAAACAAGGAATGATAAAAAATCCATTATAGAAATATAAACAAGTTTATTCTTACCAGCAGCCATCATTGGTAACATACTAGATCGTTCATCATCCAATAATAATGCATCTTGCTCATAATACTGACTGAAATTAAAACAATTACACATCGTATAATTATTCTGACATCAACAGCTTACTGTTAAAAGAAAACTCCATTACTATATCGCATTATACATTGGTTATGATAATCATATAGCTTATCAAGCCAAGATTGATCTTTCTTTCTTAAATGTTACTTAAATCAAACTTACAAAAGCAATTGTTTATGCCCAATGAAGCTATGAAGATATTTCTCCAGTGATTGCTCGTTTAAACTAGACCTAAGCCATGCTTGAGCTTTCAAATAAATATCAAAAATAGAAAGAAAAATGTCAGAACAAATTCATGGCATACAAAAAGGTTTTACCCACAAACATTCCTGGAATCATTTGGAAACCAAAAACTTGACTAACCTCTACCAACATCTGTCATTACATTATGTAAAGAATTATATGTCTTTATTTCATTAGAGTTAAGATGTTCCTTGATAAATAGCCAGAACACAGATTGACCTTCAGATCTCATTAACACCTGCCTTTAATGAACATAGTAATGATGAAAACGAACTATTTAAGAATGGCTTTTAAATTGACTGACTTGAGAGAGGAATGATGAAGATACCTTAAAGAATTTACTTTTTTGTGGATTTAATGCCAAATTGAAGAACAATGTTCCATTGCTCACAAAGACAAGAGATTCTGTAAGGTGGTTAATAACTGGTCATGATAGGTGGTTAATAACTGGTGGTTAATAACTGGTGGTTAACATTGGTGGTTAACATTGGTGGTTAACATTATGATGGTTATCCAAGCCATTTAATTCAATGAAAGCAAGTAAAGTTTTCTTACATTTCTGATAACAGGATCATCAGTCGTTGTGACTTTATGGAAAATCCTGTTTTGCAAGGCAAGTGGGACTTCATTCTTAATGTTGACACGATCATAAGCCTTGTCATAATATTCCAGTTCACCACATTTTACTCTATTTAACAAAGCACAGAAATAGAGAGATCTTCATAAACACATAAAAACAAGATATTCATTAGTATCTATTCAGAATAGATGTTAAAATTGCTTTCATTTGTTTAGCAAATTCAAAGAAGGTTTTATACAACAATGAATTCTGATACAACGAACAAATCATCTGGATCAAGAACATTTGGTAGACTCAATTTTGATAATCTTGGAAAATCCATTTCTTCAATAACCTTCCACTCTTCCTGAACCATTACAGACGCATTACGTATCCTCTGAGGAGTCTACATATAAGTTAAATATATAGATATAAAATTACAATATATCCATAAGTGTACCAGTCATGTTACTACATATCTATTATGTATCATCCGAGGTGTTCATGGTTGAGGTACATCTGTTTGTGTACCATAATATCTTATGCAAGTTGCATAATTACTACAAATTTATAATGTATCCTTTGGAGTTCAAAGTTTTCATACATGTAACACACTATCACAATTCTTTTGTTCACTTTCTTCACTGAGGTTGCACCTTAAAACTAACCCTCCCTCATTCCTCAACTAAGTTTATTACAAACCTGATTTCTTCGTTCTTGCCAGTTGTTTCTGTTGGCAAATTGTTTTTGCAATTTACGATGGAGTCTGTTGTCACGAGTCTTCAGCAAATTCTGCATCCCAGCTTGTTGACATTGCATTTGACGCTCTTTATCACGTCGATTATTCCTCTAAAAAATAAAAAAATTTTATGTTAATGTTGTTCATATGAAAAGGAGTAATTTAGATGAAGAAATTTACAAATATGATAAAAAAGTGATTTTATTTTGAGACTTTAAGTATAGAAAAATTTTCTATTGTACCTGATTGAATTTGTTCCTATTGCGCATGTAAACAGGCTTTTGTGGTCGACTTGTGTCAACAAGATGGAAAGTTGATTCATCTTCTTCGTGATAATATGCATATTGATTACCACCACCAAATTGATTTAAGTATTTATCTATAGAAGTAAAACAATATGATTAAACTGCATGAAAATATTGAAGTTTACATAACAATGTTTTACAATAATAGCTAGTAAAATATGATTATAAATTTCACCAGGTGACACAAAAATACAAGAACAACTAAAGGTCAGAGTGGAAGACATTGATGGCAAGGAATTTCTTATGAAATATAAAATATTTTACCTTGCCAAGTTTATCTCCTTTAGAGAATGGTTGATAAGGTATTCCTTTAAATGCATCTGAAACAGAGGTAGGAACCCAGCCGTTTGGGTTATCTTCAATGACAGGAGGAATAAAATGAATTCGTTCAAACGTCATATTGAATATTGACTAGTTTGCATGTTTCCATCAGTCAAAGGTAGAAACGTCAACATTGTTTGACCATACCGACGACCCGACGACAATTAATACCAAGTTGTCGGAAATCATTTTCGGCATTGTTTTACTGAGAAAGCAAACGATTGCCTCAAAGCTGATTAAATATTGTACTTTCTAACGATAAAATGAAACTTTGTAAGAAGAAGTTGTCCTATCTTTCATCAAATTTCAACGTATATTGAACAGTGATACTGTCGTCACAGAATAGATAACGTAATCTATTCTTTGTCTTTGTTTTACATAACAATAAAGGCCCAAATTATTTGCCCCGTATCCACTCAAGCGACGCAGACATTTGACGCTTAACTCTTCAGAACGTTGAATTTATCTGAAAGATTGAATGTTCAAAGTCCCAACCGTCGACCAGCAAAAGGTTTGTAAGACAAAAGATAAAGAATTATCATGTGTGTTTACGATGTATAAATGTGACCTTAAATACAAAATGTTTGTCATATTTAATTAATATATTTTACTAAATATTAGTCACACCTAGTACTATGAAATATACATTATAGATACCCGTAGCAATTTGTAATCCTGTAATTGTATACCAATCAAACGAAGTTGCAAATACAAACAATTTACTTACGAAAAATAATTACTGCCATCGAAAGGAAGGCCTGTTTATCGTGATGTGTTTGTTTGCCAAGAAATTCAAATTGCTTGCTAGCATGCAATTATATTCATCTTTGGTCCGGACGGTATATTTATAAAATATGTGTTATTTTATTATACTTGTGATAGTATGAAGTGACATTTATGAATCTGGAGGAAAATTAAGTTTAAAATTGCAAATGGACTGATGCATGCCATCATTGATAATTGAAATATTTAGTCGGATTTTTTTAAACATTTAGTCGTTTTGTAACTTTGCAATTATCTTTCGTCGAGCTGTTGACGCTAATATGAATGTTTTATGCAGTGCGGTGTTTGCTTAAATTGTCCGGCAAAGTGCGAAGATCATATCTTCATTTAATTTCTGTTGACGCTAATGTTACTATAAGGCATGAACTATGATCACCATTTTAACTGATATGTATGTGGTCGCGTTGTTTATATTAAATCTCTCATCTGTTTGTTGAGTATGTGACATGAAAGAACTAAAGCAAGCATAATTTTGTTCACAATGTCGTCTTACTTTAGAAAGAAAGTAATTTTAGAAAATTAAGCGATATTTTAGAACTACACTAATGACATAACAAATTAGCTAAAGCAGCATCTCGATAAAGTATCACTAAACATGCATGAGAAATCATATCTAAATTGATATACCAACTTTCTAACTATTGACAATAAGCTGCATTGTAAAGGAAAGCAAAACCTGTTCAAAGGTAGGCGAGAGGTGAAATAGCATACTTGTCTATGGATATAAGGGGAATCTGTGAAAATTTATGTAGGGAGGATAGCATGTCCAATCATGCATCACCTCCATTTTTTGCCGACGCCACTTTTGACTAATCGCTGTGTGTCTAACAAAATGCTGTTAATTGTATTAAGCAAACCTTTCATTTTAAAACTTAGAACATTTGTAATATAAGCAAATGTTGAACACAGGAAGAATGTGTTTACACAGAGAAAGACGCAACCGAATCTATTTTTGGGAAATGTTCATTCATGCAACACAGTGAGCTTTTAAAATTATACTTTTGATCATGTTTAACAGTTTTAAGGTTTACTTTCATTGCAACCTTTACTGTTGTATCCACAGTTTCTTTATTGATCATAAGTAATTATAATTGCGTGCAATTGATGTTTGACATGTATTTGTAATTTACAATGGGTTATTTTAAAACAAAGGATTTTTATAATAAGAACTGACTTTTGCAATAATATAAATGTATGGAATTTTTCATTAATGAAGGAAAAAAATTCTTTTACAGTTTCGAAAATCGCGCCTTAATCATTGGCATCCTGTTTTAGATAGACGATTCTCTATTCCTGAGTTAAAACTTGTGAAACTTTATAAGATTTAGCAGTAGTCCTTTGGAATTTGAGTAATCTCAATGTTATTATGTACTCTGCATGAGGTTCTTATTGATGTATTTTTACTTCTATAACAATTGTTTTTAGTCAGTGATGTATACTTAGTTATATAACTAGAATGTTCTACATAGGCGTCATTAATGTTTTATATTACTGTTTGTTGAAGGAGATCCTGACTCACTCTTCATCTTCGTTCGCTATTTAAATGTGTTTATGTAACAAAACTCACATGGATAAAAGATTGATGTAACAATAAGGTATGAATTATGATCACCATTTTTAAACTGATATGTATGTGGTCGCGTTCTTTTTAATAAATCTCTCATCTTTTGTTAGGTATGTGACATGTAAAGAACTGAAGCAAGCTTAATTTGGACGACGAGGTCGTCAGATATGAAGTCTTACTTCTACAACAAAGGTAATTTTACAAAAGTAAAGCGAGATTTATATCCACATTACGGACCTAATAAATTAGCTAAGGAAACATCTAGATGAAGTATGGATAAACATGCATGAGGAATTATATCTAAATCGATATACCAACTTTTAAGCTAATGACCATAAGCTGCATGGTAAGAAAAACAGTAAAACCTGTTCAAAAGTATTGGGAGGAAGAATAGCATGATTGTATTTTCTAAATGTAGGACGCTGACTTTTCTTTTCTTACCTTTGCATTCATCTCTAGTGGATACAGTTTCTGAAGAGGCCTGCTTATGTGCAGTAGCTTTCCCTTGCTAAAAACTTTGATTTCCGCTCCTCAGACTATATTATCTTTTCCCTTGATCAATCTCTCAATTCTTGCTATTTTCCAAAATCCTCTTTTCAAACTTTCCTCAAACACAAGAACTACATCACATACTTTCGGACACAAACTACCCTTTACTTTGCCAACCTTATGACACTCGCTTATACTTGTTAAGTATTCCTTCCTCCACCTGGAGCAAAAATGCTTTCTCAATCTCGCTAAATACGTAAACCTACGCTTGACCACTCCTGAATCTTCGTCATTAATACTATGCATAATTCTTTTGTCTGGAATAGATGTTAATCTTCTTCCAAACATAAGATGTGCAGGAGTCAGTACATCTACATTCACTTCATCTTCATATACATAAGTCAATGGTCTAGAGTTTAACGTACCTTGTACCTCAACTAATGTTAATAATTCTTCTTTGTTCAATTTAGCGTTACCCAACACCTTCCTCAGACAACCTTTCACCAATGCTACCATTCTTTCAAAAAATCCACCCCACCAGGGTGTCCTCGCCAAATTAAACTTCCATATCAACCGATTTCCTTCCAAATATGATTTTGCTTCCTTAATTTCATAAATCTCCTTCAAATCTTTCTCAGTTGCTTTAAATGTTTTGGCGTTGTCCCAAACTATTAGCGAGGGTGCTCACATTCTAGCAGCAAATCTTCGCATACAATTCAAAAAACAACGTGCACTTAAACTATCAACTAAATCAAGACAAATTGTTCTTGTAACACAGCAGGAAAATATTGCGATGTATACTTTTACCATCTGTCCACCTTCTTTTGCAAACAATGGACCAGCAAAATCTACTCCTACTTTAGAAAAGGGTGGTGAATACTGAACCCTAAAATCTGCTAAATCTGCTTGCACTCGTGTTTTATAAGCCTCTCCTTGATGTCTTCT